ACTCGGTGTTTATCGATATTTTCTTCAATTTATCATCTAAGGGAACAATGATCTGATCTGTGATATGGATTTTCAGTGAACTGTTCGAGAAGTTAGCGAGAATCTAAGCAGCAAGAGGTGTTAGAATCTATATCCGAGAGACTACGGTGAGTGCGCGACCGTGGCTATGAATCTTAAGTCGTTTTCGTGCATAGATTCACTTAGTCTTTAATTTTCTGGTTTATTCCAAATGTTTGCTTGTCATGTATCGATTATCTGCTACTTAGTCTCGATGACTGATTCGGTTTACTCAATAATCTAGATCGGCAATGCGCTCGATGAGGCTTGTTCGGTTGCGGGAAGATTGCTCAATAAATCTGGATAGTCATGCTTGACAAGTTTATGTTCGTGACTGGCATTATTGACTGTTTGTTTCGATGTATTGAATTCGATTGTTTGATTGTGGCCTGGTGAGACGGGACGACCGTTCTGACTAAGCAATATGTTTGCTTACGCCTCCTTTGTGATGCAGGAAAGGGTAAGGGAAATGTTGGAACCAGTTCGCGAGACTAAGGCAAGAAGTGAAGGATGGTGTTTCTTTGGGTAGTTTCATGTTGGTCTAGTATTAAAACAATGTAATAGCCTATAGCAAACTTACCATTGTACTAGAACCATTGTTTTTAATGAAAGAATTCTGTTTTATGCTTAAAAATGACTTGTCGGAAACTTAGTCGGAAAATGAATAGTGTTTTGTTCGGATTCTCTTGGCCGTGTTTCCTCACAGCGGAATAGAAATCGGGTTGAGGCATTATAGATACCCCGAATCTGGATCCAAAAGGGGATGAAATTGAGATAAACCGGATTCGATTCTGGAAACCATCTCTACAACACAATCATCCATTCAGAAAACGACCAAAGACCTCGTCGCAAAACCGTCTCCAGAGACTCCTCCAAAGGGAAGATGAATTGGAATCGTCGTTGCTCCCTGTAACACTACTACTATGCACTACAAATCGTCATTCAAATTGGAAAAGTTATTCGTCCCCACAAAGAGGGTACAAAAAGGTATTATAAGCCAAGAAGAGCCAAATTGCTCTAGCAAATGATAAAGGGACAACAACAACAACAAAAGCATAAGCTAAACATGAATATAGAGATAGATGCAAAACATGGATATAGAGATAGATGGGAGCTAACAAGCTCAAATCATAGATAAAGTGATAGATGGGAGCATACAAGCTCAACCAAAGTAGATTGGTTTATGATTGGGGGAAACAAAGTCTCCAAAGACACCAATGGCAAATAGTCAACAAATGTTGAAGGAGAACATTCTTGAGAAACAATCCTCGCTTCCACTACCAACAAACCGGTCTTAAAACACCATGCTCCCTATAACACTACTACTATACACAAGCGAAGTATTTTAGAGGAAAATAATATCCATAAAAGAGAGATGAGGGCTATAAAATCTCTAATAAACAAACTTAACTTGTTAGTTGTCTATGCACAAGGCTATTTGTCCAAGCATCGATATGACAAATTTTTAACATAGCCAAATCGAGAGAGAATCCACATATTACAGCATACTATGGTAAAGGATCGCAATAAAGGGATAAAGGTGCTACAAAAGGGAACAAATGTAGACACAAGAGCATCTAAACACATTAAAACCCAAAGAGCTACATCTGAATCCCGTAAAACCAATGCCACAATGTAATGCCCAGACCGTCACCTCTCCTTGTGGTTCCCATGTTCACTCTAAGTCCATAGGCCCACCTTTCTTTATGGTCCTCACGTCCTCTTACTAGGCACGTGAGCCCATCCTCCGACACTCGGTTTGCTACGTCCGGATGGCTTTATTGATAAGTTTACCAACACTAAAAATTACCACATGATCTTTCATTGGTTTTGGCCTCACTCACACAATTTCGACAACCACTTCTCGAACGGTCGCCCATCCTTGACTACGCCAGCATAAGCATGCTTAACTCTGGACTTCTTTGAGGGCCTTGTGAATAAAAATATAAGTGCAGTTTAGTGACATAGGTTTCCAAATTAATTCATTTAAACCTCTCCGCAAAAAAAAGGGTCCCACAATTCTTCCCGAGTAACAAACCGCAACGTCCTAATTGTGCACCAAGATCGTCACCCCTTGACGGTGTGGGCCCACTACTCCATACTCATCTAGGTTCGGCACTAACACCATGATGTCACCTTTCCTAGTGGTCCCCATGTTCGGTCTTAGCCCATGGGCCCACCTTTCTTAATGGGCCTCAAGTCCTCTCATTAGGCCAGTGAGCCCATTTATATCTAACGGTTGTTTGCTACGTCCGGGAGGCTTTAAAGACACGTTTACCGACCCTACAAATCACCACATGATCTTTCTATGTGTTTTGGTCTCAGTCACACAGTTCTAACAATCACTTCTTGGAAGGTCACCCATCCTCTAACTACTTCAGCATAAGTACGCTTAACTCTGAAGTTCTCTCATGACCCTTGACGGAAAATATAAGTGCACTTTAGTGATATAGGTGACCAAACCAATTAATTTAAACCGCTCTACAAACCAAGGTCCCACAGACAAGCTCAATCAACATCCTAAATCTTCTAAGCATAGAAGAATTAGAGGGAAAAGAGCAAGAACAAACTTTTGGGACGGCTTAGTGGGTAAGGTGCGGGCATAGGTTGTGGTTGAAGAGATCATACAAAGGGAGTACTAATTGGAAAGCATCAATCCAAAGAAAAGGGGAGACTTTGTTGTAAGGATAGGAAGCATCACTGACGATAGCAAACCACTTGTGCCTTAGATGACATGGAGGGCGAGCGAGTCACATGCTCTAAACGAAGAGGAAGTTAACAACTAGACAAGAGATTCTCTAAAAGAGAAGCATATCTAAGGGTCTAGTGGTGTTGGCGGAGGTGCAGGCTCGGCATTAGTGCACGAGGGGGGCCTAGGACGTGGAAGGCGACTAAAGAACTCGATAAGAGACGAGAGTGGCTTGGAAATGACATAATTAAGGAAATCATCTCATGTGAAAAAACGCGTCGGAAAACAGTTGTTACCGAAGAAGAGATTCACCAAAGAGAGATTTCACCCTAGTATCAGACACATCGATTAGGAGAGTAAATTATCGGATGAACATTGCTTGAGAAAGAAGCTCATCTAGTAAACGGTGATACAAGAATCGGTGGTGAGCTTGTACTAGGATAGCGATGATGGCTTCACAAGCTGGCTGTCGCTTCTCTCTTGTGAAGCAAAGATGGTCGATGATGGAGATTCTCTCGTTTGGGATCCATGAAAGGGGAAGTGATGGCGGAATGAATAGAACTTACCTAGGTGCAATGTATGCCCAATCGATGTTCTCTGAACTACATCTTGTACTACTCGGTAATCTACTTCAAGAGTCTTGTCAAGTACTCATTTGTTTGTTGGTTCTTTTGAAGTAGAGGGCTTCCTAAAGTTTCTCTCGGGTAGCTTGACCAGTCTCTTTAAGCTCTTCCATGTCCTTAATGTCTTGATCTTGATCTTAACTCTCTTATTCACTCTCGGAGATAAAGCTTGTTTCGCTTATCTGTTGCAACTCCAGTGTCTTCTCTTGGCTTTTAGAGGCTTCTTGACCTGCCAAAGGAGAATTCAACGTGGGAAAATGGTACTTTCAAGACTCATTTAGGTGAATGCTTTAGTAAGCACTTCCTCGTCAATGGGATCATATCCGTTGTGATGGAGTAAAGGTGGTACAGACCAGTTGACGTCATTCAGCTCTAGTGAACTCACTTTGTCTTGTACAACTAAGTTGAATCCCTTTCTAAGCTGGAAGTTTAATGGAACCTTAAGGGACGACTGGTACAGGATGTGGTTCATCAATTTTGACAATAGAATTGATGTTCACATCATACGGAGAAAATTTGGGCTGTTGTGACAACTCTTAAACTACATATGTTTTGTGGCGTGTGTTGTCTGGGGCAGTGACTGTTGCAGATTGTATGAGGAACCATGGCTTATGAATTGATCCTTTGTGTCAGCTTTGCAAAATAGAGGAGGAATCAGTTTCACATGTCCTGTTCCAGTGCTCGTTTGCATCTCGTGTTTGGAGTACAACTATGCTTCCCCTACCCCGACATAGGTTCCATCCTACGGTGACTGAGAATATCAAGTACTTGTTAGAATTAATAAGTGATACAGCCCTTAATTCATCTATTCGTAGGGCCATTCCTTGGCAATTGTGGGAGATTTGGAAGGCACAGAACTCCTCTATTTTTGTAGACAAAACACATTATCATAATGTTTTAATAGCTGGTGCCTTAGCTGCTAGAGAAGTTTGGTTCATGCAACAAAATTTGCAGGTTCAAGCATTTGCAGGTTCAAGCAGTTGTATTGGTAATTAGCAAAAGTCATAGATTGACAAGAAGATGGATTAAGCCATCCAACGGCGGACCCACGTTTGTGGTGTCCTGCCCAATTTTTTGAATTTTTCTTTAAAGTAATGATTTTTAATTATTTGACTCAACTCAATTTAATAATATTATATTAATCTTTCCTGCCTCAATTTTTATGGACACGAATGTCCACTAGCCCATAACAAAAAAAAAGGCCTATTATTTGTTTTTCATATATAAATAACAATAAGATAAATTTTAACCTAAATTTTATTCTTACCCACTAAAGTAAATTAAGAAGAAGAAAAAATTGTTTCTTACCAGCTGAAGTCTTTGGGGGTTTTCTTCGTCACCGTTTCACGCTGCAGATTTTTTAAAGTCAAGTAAGTTTATTTATTAGGTTTAAGAGTTGATTTTGTTTTACAATCAAATTAATGGTCTTTTAATCATACACAAAATTGTAATACAAAGTTTTTAATGTTGACAAATTTTTTTACCGTAATTTGTTTCATTAATGAACACTTTGAAAAGATACTATAAAAGAAAGGAATTATCTCCACCTCGCAGTGAATCAAATGATATTGCTTTACCTTGGGATCCTGCAAATCGAAAAAGAATAGGAGATTATCAGCCGAATTAAAGAGATGAGGTAATTCGAAGATACTTGATAAGAGGTCCTTGTCCACCTCGTGGGCTTACTTTTAAACAAATTCTTATAGGAAAAGCATTGAGGCGATTTAACCTAAACCTGGTTTGATCAATACAGAAACTGGTTAGAATACAGTGTGAAAAAGGAAAAAGCTTCTTGCTTATGTTGTTACTTGTTCAGAGATAATGCTGGTAAATGTGTAAAAAGTGATGCATTTATAACAGATGGATTATGTAGGTGGAATAGTTTGAAGAGTTTTTCAGAATATGTGGGAGGTGTTGATAGTTTTCACAACAATGCAGTTATGAAACGTGAATACTTGATGAAACAAGGTCAGTCTATTGAGCATGCTTTGCATAAACAAGATGATATCACAAAAAATGAGTATAGAATTCGGATGAATGCGTCCGTTGATGCTTCAAGATACTTATTGCAACAAGGATTAGCTTTCCGTGGACATGATGAATCGGAAAAATCTGCTAGTAGAGAAAATTTTGTGGAACTTATAAAGTACACTGCTAATCAGAACGAAGTTATGAGTAAGGTTATTTTAGATAATGCTCCTGGAAATAATCAGATGAAGTCTCCTAAGATCCAAAAAGACATTGTGAATTGTTTTGCAAAAGAGGTAGTCAAATATGTTATTGAAGAAATTGATCATGATGTTTTCGGTTTGCTGGTAGATGAATCTGCTGATATTTCTGACAAAGAGCAAATGGCGGTAGTGTTTCGATTTGTTGATAAAAGTGGGATAGTCAAAGAGATATTTATGACTATAACACATGTGAGTGAGATATCTGCAACAGCTTTGAAATTTTCTATTGATGATTTATTTGCTAAATATGGATTGAGTATTAGAAAGGTCCGAGGGCAAGGGTTTTACGGAGCAAGTAATATGAAAGGTGAGTTTAATGGGTTCAGATCATTAATTCAGAGGGAGAGCAAATCAGCATATTATGTTCATTGCTTTGCTCATCAACTTCAGTTAGTTGTTGTGGCAGTTGCAAAGAAACATTTTAATGTTGGCAACTTTTTGACATGATTTCTTTGTTAATGAATGTGGTGGGAGCTTCATGCAAAAGGAAAGACATGATCTGAGAGAGTTACATGAAAAAAATTATGGAAGAAATTGATAATGTTGAAATTAGTACAGGTACATGGTTGAATCAAGAGATCTCTTTTCAAAGACCAGGAAATACTCGTTGGAATTCTCACTACAGAACTCTATTGCGATTGATTGAGTTGTTTTCTTCTATCATCGAGATGCTTGAGTTCATTGAGAATGACGGGGTAGATGACTTGAAAAGACGTAAAGCACATGGTCCCCTTAATTACTTTCATAGCTTTGATTTTGTGTTTTATTTGCAAATGATGATACACCTTTTAGGGCTCACAGATAACTTGTCAATGGCACTCCAAAGAAGAGATCAAGATATTTTAAATGCTATGTCATTAGTGAAATCCACGAAGAGACAACTTCAGTTGTTTAGGGATGATGGGTGGAATTCTCTTATGACGAAAGTTTCATTATTTTGTGAGAAACATGAGCTTGAGAAGCTTGACATGGAGGCAGATTTTGTAGACTCAAAATGGCGAAGGAAAAAAACAGGAGTGTCAAATATGTATCATTACAAGGTCAATTGCTTATATTCTATCTTGGATTTGCAGCTTCAAGAATTTAACGACCGCTTTAATGAGGTGAACATTGAATTGCTTACTTGTGCTGCTTTTTTTATCTCCCATTGATGCATTTTCTGAGTTTGATCTCTCAAATTTATTGAAGTTAGCTAGTTTTTACCTAGATGACTTCAGTTCAGGGGAGATTAATTCTCTTGAACAAGAACTATATCACTACATTGACAATGTTCGAAATGATGAAAAATTTTCTGATTTGGTGAATCTTGGAGACCTTGCTAGAAAGTTGGTGGAAACACGAAAACATATGTCATATCCTTTGGTTTATAGGCTTTTGAAGTTGGTTTTGATTCTGCCTGTTGCTACCGCAACTGTTGAGAGATGTTTTTTAAGACATGAAGATTGTAAATACACATCGACGCAATCGGATTGGAGATCAGTTTTTGAATGATTGTTTAGTTTGTTTTATCGAGAAAGATATATTCAAAACTATTACAAATGAAACTGTGATGACAAGATTTCAGGACATGAAAGATCGTAGGATGCTTTTGTAGGATTTTTTTTAACATTGTAAGGTATTTATATTTTATATTCAAAACGATTTTTTTAACTTATATTTTGACCTGGGTAAAATATATTTTTGGGTCCGCCACTGAAGCCATCTGTGGGGAACATTAAATGCAACGTTCATGTTTCTTGGGTAAATGCAGCCACTTTTTGTGGTGGTGCTTGGATGTTAAAGAATCATGATGGCAATGCTTTGTTTCATTCAAGAGACGCTTTCCTCCCGGTGGTAAACCGAATCACGGTGGAACTTCAGTGTATTATATGGTGTCTCACTAGTCTTCACGAGTTGCGGGTGGAGCTTGTTTTGTTGACAGACTGCATTGCGGTTGTCTTGGCCATTAACAATCCTATGGAATGGCCTTGATATCGTTTGTTGTTGGATAAGATCCTATTCTTTATCCTGTAGATGTCGAAGGTAACCTTCCAGTTATCCTTTACGAAAAAAAATGTCATGGCCCGAGAGATTGCAGGAAGTGTGACAAGAGATAAAAGGTGTTGAACCAAGGATCCACACAATGAATTTATTAAGGAAAGGAGAATAAATTCACTTTAAACAATCTCTCAAGAACTCAGTCGAAAAAAGAACGAAAAGAAGTGTTTCGACCTAGAAATGTAGGGTTAGGGTTTGCTCTAGAACGAAATGTGGAATTAGGGTTTTTGTATTCATTGATCGATGCCCTAGAAATGGAGGCATCTCCTCTATTTATACAAAAGATTTAGCATTACAATAAATACTCGTATTCCTTAGATTTATAAAGAATATACTCATAAATATTTGATTAGGGTTCATGAAACCCTAACGAAAATCGTCCATTTCCATTTTAGGGAATGAACATAAATCCGCTTTAAATGGGAAACCGGGATTCTCCGATTTCGTTGGTCCGATTCGATTCACTCTTGGTTTAGGCCGGTATGTCGTTGGTGCCAATTCCTACACCAACAGAAGGCTCACTTAGCGTTGGGTGGACCAGCTTGATATACACAAACGGATTGAGTCGGAACGTCTTGCTGGCGTCTGAATTATTTCTTTTGCTGGTTTTAAATGGTATTGAGTTTTAGTTTTGGTTTTCTTTTTGATCATTTTCCCCTGGTTTATTCTGAACTTTTATGTTTACTTATCTATGATGATCAAAAAATAAAACAAAAAAAAGAACTGGCTGAGTTAGAGTTTACCATAACACAACTATTATTTTTTTCAGCTTTATATATCCACCAAAAGTATGCAAAAATGCTTAGATTAATGTAAGAACGAGTTATATGAAATGTATTGGTTTGACTCTAAATGAAAAATTGCATTCCTATCAAAATAAACCTAAACTTGATTTTGAAACTTCCAGTATCGGAAAATTTGGTACAAAACAGATCTATAGACATGAATACATGTTTCAACCAAAACACAATATAACACTTTACGAAGCAGAAAGAGAATAACATATTTTTATCAAAAAATAAATTGTATGATATTTGCAAAAAATACAATTTTACTATTTGATATAAAATTCTTAATAAACTATTTCAAATATTATAAATTTTATTCTTTATTATATTAAGTTTTTTCTCACATGACTACAAACAATTATAAAATATATAAAAAAAAAAATTCATATCATATTAACAAATATTCTCCATTAAGTAACGCGAATCCATTTTCACTTGTAATAACTATTAAAAAAAATTGTTACAAATAATTTTAAATATTAAACAAATTATCCCGCAATATACCATTGGTTAAAAACTTAATTTACATTCTTATCGACACATAGAGGCGCTTATATATAAACATTATTGTCCTTGGAATCGCAAAATTAAGCGGTACGAGACATTGAAATGAGATGTTGGAAATAGATTAGTTTTGAGTAAATAACGTGAAGGGAGTTGGGAAACGTAGGGAGGCACATGGCCCGGCATGTCGTGGGAGCATTAGGACAAGATTAAGGAAAGACGAGATCAACATGTAAGGGTGAAAATGAACAGAGCCCCCACCAAAATTTCATCTTCAATCCCTAAAATCCAGACATCTTTTGTTCCCATGTGCTTCTTATTTAAAGTTCACTGTCCCAACTCACTTCTGTCTCTCTTTCTCTCTCACCCTCAAAATCCAATCTCTTGGGAGAATAAAAAAAAAAGAAACCAAAAACATTGATGCAACGTCTCTGCTTCTTTATTTGTCTGATTGTGCAATAACTAATTTACCTTTTCTTTTCTCATCTTTGTTTCCTTTTAGTTTTCAATGTTTGTTCTAGGACCACATCATCCACTATGATCTAACTTGTCGGATAGTGTTTCTTTAGAATGTTGGTTTTGTAATGTGATTGTGTTTTAAACCCATATATACTACGCTATAAGCTAGTTCAAATACATGGAAACTTAAGTATAGTATACATAAAAAAAACATTCTACTTCACGCACTAGATGTATTCGGGTTCAGTACGTTAAAAAAATAATAATAATAATAAGCAAGATATGTAAAGAGAACTACTAAGACAGGTTGATAAGAAGATAAACAAATGAAAGCAAGAAAAAAAAAAGGTATCGTATAAATTCAAGAGATCAAGCATTGGATCAAATCTAAGTATAACGTTTTACCAAAAAATAATCTGAAGTATAACGAAGTGCAATGATCAAACAATGATGCAAGTGTAATGATTAATAACCATCACAGAACATGAAACACTTAAGTTGTATTAACTTACTCGGTTACTCCTAAGCGTTAATCAACTTTGCTAAATATTTAAATAAGTATAAAGTATTAGTATCAAGTTCTAGAGGTTTACAATTTGCCCTAACCCATTTCGTGTGGTGCTTAACACGAAATTCTTATAGAAAATTCATTTGAGAGTTACACCAAACATGCGTAATTTAATCTAACATTGAGATCATCTTATAAGATCGGAACCATCAAGATTTTTTTCATAGAAACAATTAAACAAATAATGGAACGAAGACCTATTCCCCCCTCCCCCGAACTTTCGTATACGATCAATTCCACCCACACTTTCAACCTCTCTATGTATCCCCTTCAAAATAAAGTTCCAAAATTATTTACCTCCACATCGAAAGTTCGAAATCTATTTCCCCATAGAATTAAAGTTCAATACTTATTTACACATTGAACTGGGTTAGTGTCGGGTTATTGTAGACCAATCTCGTTTTAACCATCCTAATCAATTTTATACCAATAATAAACCACATTTCCTTAAACTTAGCCAAGATCCTGTTTAGGGAAATCTAACTAACAATGTTGAATGATATGACACTATGGAAAAAAAACAAAGCAAAGAAACAAAGAAAATATCAAAATAGAAGGAATGAGATAACAGATTTTTTAAATATCACAATAAGTCCAAAATTCATTCCAAGATAAGCAAGCATCCAAAAAAAAAACAAAAAAAAAAAACCCTGAACTAAAACTTGTTTCTCCAACTGGTGATTCATGGTCTATATGTAGTTTTAAAGCTATCCAGGTATACCTAGGAAAAATCAGTTTAAAATGGAGAAAAGGCTCGAATGTTTGTGTTATGGGTTATTGGTTTGGCTCCACCGCAATATGGTGTTGGCTTCACCATGGACATGCTTATGTTTAAATACTCTCATACGAGGTTTGTGAACCTTACCAAGGGAGATATGGGCTTCTTTTACTACATGCCTATGGATATGAGGGTGCATCAAGCAGATCAAAGTACTAATATAGAAAGGATTA